CTCAAAAATACACATAAATCAAATCCATGAAGGTAATTAAATTCTGACCAGTTCACACTTCATACAACATTCAATAGCAAACCCCATCAAGCACACAACTGTATAAATCATTGAATCACCCAATCACATAAGAAAAACAAAAACCCAAAACAAAACAACAGTAAAAAAGGCACCTTTTGCAACTCCTCATAGTCCTGCATAAGATTCTGATGCTTTAGCTTCGCCTTAGCATCCTCGTACGGCCCAACACCAAAATTTGGTGTCGAATCGAAAACAACCCCTTTACCCTTCTTAGGCATCAGATCACAAAAAAGGCTGCGATCTTGAAGATGATCAGACAACTGATACTAGTTTTGTATATTAGGGCAATCGCTGAAAATCCAGATAGAGGAAGAGAGAAGGAAGAGAAAAGAGAGTGAAAAACAAGAAAACAGGTGTATGGTGAAAGAAAACGAATATGAAAGCGGTGTGGTGTGGACAAAGCAATAGAGAGAAAGAAAAGATAGGTAGAGAGAGTAGAGAGAGAAGTTTTGGGGAGGTGGGGAGGTTCTCTTTCTTTGCTTTCCTGTTTTCTCTGTGACGAGAAAAAGAAAAGGATGAAAAACAATCTGACCAACAGACCAAGGCAAAGGCCGAAAAAGCCCACATAACTCGGGGCAGAGATAATTTAAAAGAATTAAAAACATTACAGTTGTTTGGAAAGACAATGAAGTTGATGATGAAAATGAGGATTTTTTTTTTGGGAGGTTGCAGAGGGGCATTTGTGGCATGCAAAATTGTCTGCTTTTTTGGTGGGCTTTGGTCTATTTGGAAAGACATTTGAGGGCCTCTCTCTATCTCTAGAACAACACACTCTCTTTCTCTAATTTGCTGCCTCGGTCTATCTCTTCTTGAATTCTTTTTCTTTTGGTTTTTCTTCTACATANAAAGCAAAAGATGGGTAGAGAGAGAAAGGAAGAGATAAATAAATGGGGAGAGAAGGTGTTTGTTTGCTTTTTGCAGTTGTTGGTAGATAGTACCTTGTTTTTAGGCTTTGGTCCTCTGATGGCTGCTTTGATGGTGATGCCCTCTATTTTTTTTTTCACTTACTGCACGTCTGAAATTACGAGTATACCCTTCTGGGTTTGTTCCATTTCTTCCTTTTGACTTTTTACTGCAAAAGTCTTTTGGGAACCGGTCAAGATTCAGATGTTGCCATTTAGCCTGCAATAGTGAGAGCCGTGAGCCCTAAAAGTACCCAACTTTATAAAGATCACACCTTATAATTGTTCACACTGGGTTTTTCTTCTCAGGTTGTCCTCAGGATAAATTTGTAATTTACAAAAACACATTTATCCTGGATCCAACCAAAAGAATATCGAAAATTAGTTGGTTCGGTTGCATTCTTCAATAAAATGTGTAATATTTTAACCATTCGATATGTTATTGTGTATATTTGGGTATTTACCGTATTAACCTTAGGTTATCTGTAGCCCTAATTTTGTGTATATATTCTTAGTTTATAGAGAGTCGTATCATCCGATTGAGATGATCAATTTTTCGATTTCGTCTCGTCTCTTTCGTATCATGGTATCAGAGCCCGTGAAATTTTTTTCATCAATTCTGATCGTGAATTGTTTTTTCCCGTGAAGCTGTCCAACTTCCGGCAATAATTCTCGATCATTGCTCGTATTACAGTCATAAATTTTTTATCCCACTGCACGTGTTAAGCAGTTGCTCAATTGCTCAATATTTTATTTTATTTTATTTTTTCCTCCGTCCAATGAGTGCTGCTCAATTGCTCATTTGCCTTTGTTCAAAGTAATTCAACAATACTCCATCAATTCACTCACGCAATTGATTGCACAGAGACTACTCCATCAATTCATTCTTAATTGTTGAATTGCTCACAGGCTACTCAATTTATTTGTTCAATTGTTCAAATCACCCAATTAATTGCTCAATTGTGCACAGCTACCGTCCACGGCATCCGATATTTCACAGGTTCAGTCCACGGCATCTGATAGCTCACGGTAGCTGCTGTTTTTTGAGTTAATTCGTCATGGCAGATTCTTCGACATCGGTCGCGCCTGGTAGCACTGAACTTACTGGACACCGTGTCGGTGGCCGTCCCAAGTGTTCTCATTGTGGCCGAATGGGCCATCTTGTCGCTACTTGCTTTAAGATTATTGGATATCCGAAATGGTTCGGTTCCAGTGGTGGCCTCCGTGGCGAAGCTCGCGGTAAGAGTTGTGCTCGTACTAATGCGGCGTTCTCCACTGGTATCGTTGATTCCTTTGTTGCCGGCATTGTTGGTTCTTCCACTGCTAGTGGAGCTTTGAGTGATTCTGATCGTCTTGCACTTGGCGATTTACCAATGAACAATGGTTTCATTTTGTATCTTTGGTTAATTCCGCTAAACAAAAAAATCCCTTGTCTGGTACGCGTCGTTTATTTGATTGGATGTACGACTGTGGGGCAACTCATCATATGACAGGGTTCTTGGAGTTTATTTCTGATGTTCGTGATATTCTCGCTCGTCCTGTTCAATTGCCTAATGGTTCCTTGACTATGGCTACCAAGGCTGGGACTGTTTATTTGGGATCTTTTATCACTCTTTATGATGTTTTATACGTTCCAAGCCTTCGGTGCAGCTTGATTTCATTATATCAATTGTTGGACCATTCCGACTGCACCGCTCAATTTACTAACAAATTCTGTGTTATTAAGGACCGCACTTCACAGAAGGTGATTGGCGCAGGTGAGCAGTTCGGGGGTCTCTACTTCTTTCGAGGGACGGTTTCTACGGCAGTTTCTTGTGTTAGGAAGGTTTCTGCTGATGTGTGGCATCAACGTTTGGGTCACCCGTCTGCTCAAGTATTGTCTCAGGTTCCTGTTATTGATTCTAGTTCTCGTAATTTGCATAAATCGTGTGATGCTTGCTTTCGTGCTAAACAACATCGTCGTAGTTTTCCTCTCAGTCAGACTGTTAGTCATGAGATATTTCACTTGATTCATTGTGATTTGTGGGGTCCGTATCGTGTTCCGTCCTTCTGTGGTGCACGATATTTTTTAACTATTGTGGATGATTGTTCTCGTGGAACATGGGTTTATTTATTAAATGACAAGACGGAGGTTGCTTCCACATTGTTGAATTTTTTTTTCTATGATTAAGCGACAATTTCATAAATTGGTGCGTGTTGTTCGTAGTGATGATGGAAGTGGGTTCATGTGTTTGACGTCTTATTTTCGTCGTCAAGGGATTTAGCATGAGACTTCTTGCGTAGGCACCCCTCAGCAGAATGGGCGTGTGGAACGCAAACATCAACATATTCTCAATGTAGCTCGTGCTTTGCGTTTTCAGGCTCATCTGCCTCTTCCCTTTTGGGGTCATTGTGTTTTGACTGCGGTCTATCTGATAAATCGAACTCCTTCGTCGGTTTTACATGGTAAAACCCCATATGAGATTCTTTATGGTTCAGCTCCTTACTTGTCTCATTTGCGGGTTTTTGGTTGTCTTTGTTATGCTCATAACCAAGATCGTAATGGTGACAAGTTTGCTGCTAGGGGTCGTCGTTGTCTATTTGTGGGTTACCCGTTTGGCAAAAAGGGGTGGAGTTTATATGATTTGGATCATCAGATTTTCTTTGTCTCTCGCGATGTTGAGTTTCTTGAGACTGAATTCCCATATCAGTCAGATTCGTTTGAGCCAGATACTTTGTCACCGCCTCTTATTGTGCCAGTTTCTTCTACGCCGGATGATGATGAGGATCTTTCGGTTGTCTCTTTGCCTCATGTTTCTCCTGATACTGGGACTTCTGCTACTGATATGGTCACGTCTGACGATAGGGGGGGTTCCGTTACCACTACCTCTCCCACTCTTCAAGTGGAGCCCTTGGGTCGTGGTCATCGGACTAAGGTTCCTTCCACTCGGCTGAAGGATTTTGTGGTTGACACTGTTCGACCCTCGATTGTACCCCCCACTGCTTCTTCCCAGTCGTCTCCATCCTCCGGTACACCTTATCCCATAGCACATTATGTTTCTTGTGATTCATTCTCTCCAGCTCATCGAGTTTTTTTTGCTGTTGTCACCTCCGCTGCTGAGCCTCGCACTTTTGCTGATGCCGTGACTGATCCTCGATGGCGAGCCCCTATGCAGAATGAGATTCGTGCCTTGGAGAATAATGGCACGTGGGATGTAGTTTCTCTTCCATCTAGAAAGCGTGCGATTGGGTGCAAGTGGATCTTTAAGATCAAGTATAAGTCTGACGGTTCCGTTGAGCGCTATAAAGCGCGTCTGGTGATTTTGGGCAATAATCAGGTGAAAGGTCTTGATTATCATGAGACGTTTCCTCCCGTCGCCAAAATGGTTACAGTCCGGTTGTTCTTGGCTGTGGCTACTGCTAAGCATTGGGAAGTTCACCAAATGGATGTTCACAATGCTTTTCTTCATGGTGATTTGGTTGAGGAGGTTTACATGAAGTTTCCCCCTGGTTTTCGCTCTAGCGTTAATGGGCAGGTTTGCCGTCTTCGTCGTTCTCTCTATGGCTTGAAGCAGGCTCCCCGCTGCTGGTTTGCCAAGTTGTCTACGGCTTTGAAGCAGTATGGTTTTTGTCAGTCCTATCATGACTACTCTCTTTTTACACTGCATCGTGGTTCTGTCCATCTGCAGGTCCTGGTCTATGTTGATGATCTGATTGTTTCCGGGAATGATACCACATCCATTGCGGCCTTCAAGAGTTACTTGAGTCGTTGTTTTCACATGAAGGATCTTGGGTTGCTTAAGTATTTTCTGGGTATCGAGGTTGCCCGGAATTCTTCTGGCTTCTTTCTCTGTCAACAGAAGTATGCTCTTAACATCATAGCTGAGGTCGGACTACTAGGGAGCAAGCCAACTGATTTTCCATTAGAGCAGAATCATCAGCTCCCTCTTGCTGAGGGTGATCTATTGTCTGATCCGGAGCGATATCGTCGTTTAGTCGGACGTCTTATCTATCTGGCAGTGACTCGACCTGAGCTATCTTACTCGGTGCATATGCTCTCTCAATTTATGCATCAACCACGTCAAGCTCACTGGGACTCTGCTCTGCGTGTTGTTCGATATTTGAAAGGCTCTCCTGGTCAGGGGATTCATCTTCGTACTGACTGCGATCTTCAACTCTATGCATGATGTGATTCGGATTGGGCGTCTTGCCCTCTTACTCGGCGCTCTCTTTCTGGTTGGTTTATTCAGTTGGGTCAGTCTCTTGTTTCTTGGCGAACCAAGAAACAACCTACTGTGGCACGCTCTTCTGCCGAGGCTGAATATCGGGCAATGGCTACTACATTATGCGAGTTGAAGTGGTTACGAGGACTGTTATCTACTCTTGGTGTCGCTCACTCTCAGCCTATGCGGTTACACTGTGACAGTCAATCTGCACTACATATTGCGGCGAATCCGGTTTTTCACGAGCGCACTAAGCACATTGAGGTGGACTGCCACTTTGTTCGAGATGCTGTTATTCAGGGTCTCATTTCTACTAGTCATGTTCCTTCTGGGGAACAGCTCGCTGACATCTTCACCAAAGCACTTGGAAAGCGTGAATTTGATTTCTTTCTTGGCAAGTTGGGCATTCGGAATTCGCATGCTCCAACTTGAAGGGGGGTGTTATTGTGTATATTTGGGTATTTACCGTATTAGCCTTAGGTTATCTGTAGCCCTAATTTTGTGTATATATTCTTAGTTTATAGAGAGTCGTATCATCCGATTGAGATGATCAATTTCTCGATTTCGTCCCGTCTCTTTCGTATCAATATAAGGTTCTAGTTTTCAATTCCTTTTGCTATATGTAAATTAACCGAAGAACCACATACAAAACGTTTGTTTTGTTCACTTCGGTTCCTTGAGTAGTTCTTGCGTTAAAATCAAAATACAAACGGCTTTTTGTTTGTTTTGATTTTTCAAAGAATTGGATTAACCGACCCAATTAGGTTC